AACATCTTAATAGCAAGAAAAAAGAAAGCAAAGTGATTCTTTTAATAGCAACAAGTGAAATGAGAGCAATCTAAATTGTGGAAGAGTATAGCATAGTGAATGTTGTACCCTACATGACAAAAGTTCAGTAGTCGAAAGCATCACTAAATTACGCTCTAACCCGTATAGCACTAGTATTTTTCGAATTCTGTATTTCATCAAATGAAAAAAACGTATAAAGTTGCATGAGTTTATCACAACATTAAAACGATAATTTCGAATAGTATTTTAAAACGACATTGATGTACTTATGTACTTAGTTCATTGAACCTTGCTATATTTATAGAAAAACAATGCTAGAGTTACATCATGACAGCCCTCTCACATACATTTGGTGGGATCCACAATTAAAATAATCGAGGGCCCCACCCATGGGAGAGGGTAAGTACATTGAACCTTGCTATATTTACAGAAAAACAATGCTAGAGTTACATCAATTTTCACAGTCCTCTCACGTACATTTGGTGGGGTCCACAATTAAAATAATCACGGGCCCCACCCATGGGAGAGGGCTATAAAAATTGCTGTATAATTTTGACTGTACATTAAGCATCTTTCTTTACAGAATTTCGTTCATATAATTTATACCGGGGGTACGTGGCAGTTTGTGATTGAAATGTATAAAAAATAAAATTGAACAACACATGCTGCACTGTAAAAATTATGTGTAGAAAGCCTGTACACTTAGAATCATTCTAGTTCTTTCTAAATCCTTGACGATGAGTCAAAAACATGTACCGTAGATCCCAGCTAGAGACAAGCTGGGCTCCTAGTTATTAGCAACGGCCACCCAATTAGCTAGCAATACTGTGAAAAGTGAAAACGAGTAAACAACCGTCCAAGCCATCCTTGCATGAACCGAGCTGCAGTGCCAGGGGGGTGGTGACACCCCCCCTGACAGATTACTCACATTGGGGGGAGGGGGGCTTTTTTTTTCATTTTTTATTTTGGCCGGGCCCCACGTCGGTCCCACCCTCTTGTGAGGGTCGGTCACCCAAGTGGGCAGCCGTTTTCTGGCAAAGGAGCAAAATTC